TGGATTCCATTTCTTTCCTCTGTTGGGCATTCATTGTTTTCATTTCTTTCGTATGCTGAGTCTTCATGGCTTCTATCATGGTCTTGAGCCCATCTATTTTTTTGTCAGCTTCTGCTGTAGAGTCTCGAATCATGACTTCCAGTTTGCTCATCGTCTTTCTGGTTAACTGGGAAATTATTTCTGTTGAATTTTTCTAGAGCCTGATTGATCTGTTTTGTTACCTCCTGTGCTATGGGTCCAGGGTGTCCTGTTGGTTCACTATCAGACTTTTCATCCTCATTTGTCCTACTATTTGCCATTGTTGAACTGGAAATCTCTGTTTGTGTCTTGCTTAAGTGTTTTCTCATTTTTATTTTTATTGTTGGGTTGTCCTTCTTTAATTTCTGGGTATTACTTAAATCTTCCTGATATAGTTTTGTTTTAGCTTTTGAGTTTCTAATGACTCATAGACATCCTCATTTTCATAATATCAGAGAAAACAACTCTTTAAATCAATCATAACCCTTTATCCCAATTGATACACTCAGCAGCCCAATAGGATCAGGAGCAGCTTGCAAACTGACCACTTGTGGTAGTCATTAATGTGTCACCTTTAACTCATGTGAATTAAATTAAATTCAAGAAGCAGCCCATAATATGTTTGCAGTGAATATGCTTTTCAATATAGCATCTTTACCATTTAGGATGGGGGGTTAGACTTAGAACGAAAGGATTAGTAAGTGAAAGAATTGGAGCAGGTTTGAAGTGAATCCAGAGGATGTAGAATTATCTTACTATCTTTACAAAGCTATTAACTTCAGGGGGGATAGAGAGAGTGCAGGAATAAGGACAAGAATATATCCCCTTAACAATAACAGGCGCTTGCCTTCCCTTAAAGGTACAGAGCCACGTGTGCGGTAAAATGACTGGAAAAAAGAACATAAAGAGAAATCCCTCCTAAAAAGAAAAAATAATAAAAGAAGTCTGACTTAGGCAGGAGCCGGAATAAAAAGGGAGATGAGGGATAATATGGTGGAGCAAGAGACTGAGTTGGAGAGAGAGGACAGAAAAAAGAAAGAAATTTTAGGGTGGAATGAGGAAAGGAAAAAGAGAGAAAAAAAAATTTGAAGGGCCTCTTTCAGACTGTCTCTGTTCTCATATTATACCACATGTACAGCCATATGCAGAACCGAATCCCCTGGTCTCAGCTAGCCAATGGCAGTTCCCCATGACTGAGACTGAACTCAGTCCACAAGGCCTAACTTGAGTTTCCTTACCCTCAGGGTTGAACTCCACTCAGTTCTATTACAGGTTTCCCCTGCCCTTTCTTTAAAGATGTTCAAAGTTGGGAGCTCAGAAAACTACCCTTCATGAGAACCTATGCCTCTGTAGAGTTGGTCTAAGGACTGGCCCAATCAGGAGGTTTGAGAACGGTGCGGCGGGGAGGTTGTGGGGGTGTTTCAAGGGCGCCCGCGTGGCTACCTTCCTTACTGGGTCTGTTGTCGCCATGTCCAGGAGGTCACGCACCCGCCGGGTGATCTCAGGCAGGCAGGCAGCTGAAGAGACCCCCTTCCGGGGTCAGTTGCAGCTTCTTATCTCTGATCTTCAGACGTGTAGTTGTCTGGGTTACTACTACCCATAATAGTTGTTTTTGTTGAGCCTATTCCCTCTTTCCTGTGTGAACTCTCATTTCTGTAGAGCAGATGTTAAGGTTACTATGGTAATCCCAGCCCATAATAGTTTGTGGTTTTTTGCTTTAAAAGTCTGATGCTTACCTGCAATAAACATCACCTTGATCAGACTGTTGTCTTGGCGTCCTTCCTTTCTCTCTGCCCCATCTCCACCCGCTGCTCTTTCAAGTTTGAGGCACTGCTAGACAGTGTTCTGCATCGCTGACTCATGACAGAGGAAGTCTAGCTATCCCCCGCCCCACTTGAGTTGCTAAGAAAGTGTAGAATAGGTGGGGACAAAAACAGAATTGTTTAGATTTACTGTGCTAGAGGGTGCAAATGGGAAAGCATGGTCAGACTCAGAAAATAGAACAGTGCTTGCACTCAGATTAAAAAGAATTAAAATGAGAAAATTTCTAATAGATTAATATCAGATAAGAAAAAATAAACACTGCAAGCCAGAAAAACTGCAATTGTGTTTTACCAGACATCAAAAGATTTTTACAAGAAAAATCAAATTAGAAATTTTAACTATTTGATAAAGGTATCTTTGTTTCAATTTGAATTAAGTTTAATTGGTGTGCTTTAAACATTTCTTGTGCATTGCAAATTCTTCAATTATTGATAAAAACAAGGTTATTACTGTTCTATTGACAGCCAGTCAAATTTTAAGATGTAACAATCTGAAAACAGAAAAAGGACACTTTAAGCTGAAGTTTGTTATAGAAGGTTTATAGTAAATGAGACGGCAGAGGACAAATATTAAAAAAGCTATGGGTAAAAGAGATATACTTTTGATATGAAAGGATTTTGTATGTATGTCTTGTTAGAAAGCTATAACGAAAGATATACAAGACCAGAAAGCTTAAGTATATAGAAAAGGTATGCGGAAATGATTTAACAGGAAAATACGTATGTTTGCTTGTTGGTTTCAAGTTTATTACAGAAGGTTTACTTTTATAGTAACAGCTTTCATTCCTTTTGATTCTAATTCTATGAGATCTGTTAATTGATCTGCAAAAGTTTTGACTAGTGTTAACTAAAAGAGGTTCTAGGGCTGGAGATTTATTTAGCTCAATGACGCTGCCACCTGCCTTATAATTCAATTGGCCAAATACATTTGAACATATTATAGTTTCACAAATTGTCTTACAAGTTTCTGTCTATACAATTGTTTGAAAAGTGTTTGTCCAATTATATTTGATTGAAATGACATCAAGGATAGTAATAATTTGTTAATTTCTATAACCTTGTTTTATAAGTTAAATTTTGTCAAGATAATTAAGTATAAACTCAGGTCTAAATAGACTTCTGATAATAGTAAAAGGACAGATACTCAGAAAAATTTATTCTGGTCATTATTCACTAATGACCTTCTGAGAAGATACCACCAATAAACAGGGCTAAATATATTGTTATAAAATGTTTACATTTGTTATCATCAAAGGGTTAGATTCCAAATATGTTACTGTGATATGTTTATAGTGCTCATTTTCAAGGTTGGGTTTCTGTAGAAAAATAGTAAGAGGCTGTATTAAAAATGCTTTTGATACCTAATTAAAGGTTATGAAGTTTCATGCATAAAATTATGATTTTTGATAACTTTCTGATGTACTAAACAAACGAGGGTATTGAGAGACTATTAATGCTGTTTCAGAAGGCAAGATGTAAAGTCTATGCTGCTTGGAGATAAAAGGACTTAAAGCAGATAAGAGAATTTTTAGGATACAAAATTTTTACAGGATCTAGATTCTCTATATGTATAAATCTTTAAAGGGCCAGAAAGACAGTGATTATTATAGGGTAAAGAGCAAGAATCAGCATTTAAACAGCTAAAACTAACTCTCTCTGTTGCCCCCTGTATCAGGGATCCTAAATGTGACCCAGCCTTTTGCTTTGTACACGACTGAAAGAAATCATACTGCTTTAGGGGTGCTCACTCAAGGAGTAGGCCCATAAAATTAGATAGTGACATATTTATCTTAGAGTTTAGATCCAGCTGTGAAGAGATGGCTCTTTGTTTATAAGCCCTGACAACTGCAGTGATGCTAATAAGGAAGCTGACCAGATAACATTAGGAAAAAATAAATTGTTCAATTTCCCCATGCCTTTTAGAACTATTGAATAACAGGACATTGATGGCTCTCAAATAATAGAGTCACATAAGATCAGGCCCTCATCTGTGAAAATCCTCCCTTATATTTTGCTCCAGTTAAAACCTTAAACCCTGCTACTTTTTGCCCTTGATTGGAACCTGGCCCCCTGATCACAAATGCCACGGGGTCACTGAAGAATTGTTCTCCAGTCATCTAGATCTGCAGATAGACCCACTGACTGAGGCTGATTTTGTCCTGCTCAAGGATGGGAGCAGCTTCATGGAAAATGGGGTACGCTATGCTGGCTATACAGAGATGACTCAAGATGAAGTGGTCCAAGCAGGACCCCTCCCCACTGGATGGTCAGTGCAGTGAGCAGAGCTATGGGCACTCATAAGGCTCTCCGATGGGCATAAGAAAAGAGGATAAATGTTTACACAGATTCCTGATTGCCACTTGGTATATCTATGGCACAGTCTATACAGGTGTAGTCTTCTCACAGCAGAGAATAACTATGTATTATATAGTTAATATAATATTTAACTATATTAAATATAATATAATATAGTTATTTAAGGCAATGTGAAAATCTGACAAAATAGCTATAATAATTCAGAAAAAATAAAATAAAAGGGAGCCCACTACTGCCATCACCCTTACAGTATTGTTAAGAATGGGACTGGTGGGAACTGAACAGGAGTGATTACTATTAGTTCCCAACATTATCAATATAACCAGTTGAGGGCAACTATAAATCAAGATATAAAAAGAATAGAATTATCTATTACCAGACTTCAAGAGTCTTTAAGTTCTTTAGCAGAGGTAACTCTATAAATAAAGAGGGGAATAAATTTAGTGTTCCAACAGCAAAGAGAAATGTGCGCAGCCCTAGGAGAAAAATGTTGCTATTATACTGACCATTCAGGAATAGTGAAAAATTCAATGGCTAAAGTTCAAGAAAGATTAAAAAAAAACATAAAAGAAAAAGATTAAATAACCAAAATTGATATGAAAGCTGATTCACCTCATCTCCCTGGCTTGGGTCATTACTATCAGTTTTGGCCAGCCCTTTAATTCTGGGTTTAATCTTGTTGATAATAGGACCTTCTATAATTAACAGACTGGTTGTTTTCATTCAACAGAAGATAGGTGCAGTCCAGCTCATGGTACTTCATCAGCAATACCAGCACATCCCTGCTGAGGACAGAGACACTAGTATTGAATCTCCACTGTAAGACATTCTCCCCCTTTCTAGGACATGCAGAACCTACAATCCATTCTCGTTGGGGGTCCGGTCCTTCTTCGTGAACATCAGAGAGTGATGGGTGAATACAGAGACTGCACATTGTCTATGGAGCCTCTATCCCCAAAGATCTTGCTTACATTGCGCCCAACCCAGACCTTCTCCCTGGGAGCAGAGATAGTTAGGTTGGGTGTCACAACCTTAGTTTGCCCATAGAGTGGAATACAGCTGGAGTTGTCATCCCGACTGGATGCTTGGTGGGATCCATATTAGCTGGTTTCCCATACATTCATTGGGACACTTTTTGGTCCATTTGTTCTGCCACACCCCACTGTGCTACGGCCATTTACCCCACTGGATTATGGCCTCTTCCAATGGCTGTATTGGATTGTGGTATTTTTAGAATCACTAGAGCCTTCATATCATTTGAGATGTGAAATTCGATGGCTATCTGCTCCCAGATTAAAGGTTGATAAGTTTAGGCTATTAACAAATCCACAACCAGCTTGTAAATGTACTCATAATGTTTATGTTCCTCTCACTAGCCCGAGGTCATTAAAGGATTTGGCCATTAAAGTTTCATTACAACCTGCTAGGGGTAAAATAGAATTAGAACTAATGGGTCAAGACTACCATCACTGGCATAAAAAATGCCAAAACTGACCAAGCACCTATGCCCATAAGTTTAAAGAATGTTTCTTTCTAGGATCCTCCTTGCCCCAGTTCAGCAGGAAGCAGTTTCTGAGGGCGACGCCCATAATCCCCAAGATTGGGCATTAATAGTTGCTTCAGAAGGGGGAAATGAGGAGCCAAAGTTTCTCCATTTTTGCTAAGGCCAAAGTCCTTCCATTTCAACTAATTTAGAATAAACTTCAGTTACACCACTCTCCCCCTCCCTAACCATTATTTAGATTGTTCAATTACATAAACGGGAAATAGATGAATAAGACCCATTCCCCTCTGCAGAAGCCACATGGTCTGTTAAAACAAAGAAACAGGATGTTCTGCTAAGATAAGAACGGGCTGTAGTGACCAGTTGAGTAAGGCAAATTCCATTCCACAGAACTCATCTGCAAACATACTAACCAATAAGTTTAAAGTATAGTTATATATGTGCACCAATAGAATGTTAGAGATATAGACCAATAGAAATAGTAGAAATAGTAAAGAAAATAGCCAATAAGAAAGTTAAGATTTTCAAGCCACCTTAACCCTATATAACCCTGTTGTAATCACTATTCTGGGCTCTTGCTTCCCTGATGGACAAGAGTCCAGGTTCAAACCTGAAATAAACTTCTTTTGTACTTGCAGTGGATTCGTTTCTCTGGTGGTCCTTGGGGAAACTGAGATCTGGGTACAACATGTCCCAGAAAAACTTCTCACCATAGCAGACCCATTTTCTTTATAATATAGAAACATTACTTTATAAATGACCAAGCATATTTGTATTATTCACCATTACTGGCGCTTCACATGTATCCCATGAGACAGGATGTGCAAGGGGAGGATCTGGCATATTAGCCCAATATTCTTGAGGAGGCGTCACATCCTGGAGGAAGTGACATCAGCAGGAGTATCCACATGATGAACTAGCCTTTCCGGTAGCCATCGAGCTCCATCATGTTCCTGTGAGAGAACACAAACATGACCTTGGCTCCATATTAAAATGGGGTTGGGTCCATACCATTGACCAGTTAAGGGATCTCTCCATTTTACCAAGGCATATGGAGAACCTTGTGGAGGCCAAAACCTTTCCGCTGTGGGGTGGCCATTCTTATCAATTTGTAAAATATTTAGAATGTAAGCATGATTTAAGTAATTTCTAGGTGAGGAGGGATGTAACTCCCCCATTTTTATTTTTAGGAGCTACACTTTTAATGTGCCATGAGCATGTTCAACTATTCCTTGTCCTTGAGGATTATAGAGAATACCTGTAATATGAACAATATGCATTTATTGGCAAAATTGTTTGAAGGCCTTACTAATATATCAAGAACCATTATCTTTTTATTTTTTGAGGTATTCCTAAAATGGAGAAACAATATATACAGTGAGCAATAATATGTTTAGTAGCTTCTCCTGTTTGAGCTGAAGCAAGAATAAATCCTGAAAAAGTGTCAACAACAACATGTACATACCTTTGTTTTCCAAACTCCATTACATGAGTAACATCCATTTGCCCTAATTGATTAGGAAGCAAACCTCGAGGATTAACACCATAATGTGGAACAGAAGAAAATTGAGGGCAATTGGAGCATTGTTTAACAATTTGTTGGGCCCCAACATCTAAGAATATGACTATTTTGGTGATGGAGTTGATGAGATTGACGAGCTAAATCAATTTTAGAAAGGGCAATAAATTTTGTGGAATCATCAGCAAGATGATTTCCCAAAGACAATGGACCAGGCAAAACAGTATGTGCTCAAATATGTCCAATAAAACAAGGAAGAAAATGAGCATGAATACAATTTTTTACTTTCATGAAAAGTTGTTGAATTTCTATATTACTGGTATTAATTAATACAGGCCACAGTTTCTAAAAAAGGAAGGGCTTTAGCCAAACACTATCAGTATATAGATTAAAAGAAACAAGGGCAAATTCCTGAAAAACAAAAAGAATGGCACGCAATTCAACTACTTGTGCTGAAGTGGCAGATGTTGCAAAAACCTTTTCGTGACCATCAATAACATAAACTGCTTTTACATCAGTGAAAATAACAATCACATCAGGAATAGGTTTAGATGAAATAATTTTTGGAAAAATAAAAGACTGAAGATTCGCAAATTGTAACAATTTATTAGGTGGATAATGAAATTTAATTTGGCCTGAAAAATATGCAAAAGCAATAGCCCAGGGATCACAATTCTGAAACAGCCAATCAAATTTTCCTGTAAATGGGATTACAATAATGGAAGGTTCTAAACCAAAATATTCCCGAGAATTACATTGGATTGATTGAACAAGTTGGGCAGCAGCTTTACAAGGTTGTAAATTTTTGGCAGGCAAAACAGATAAATGTAACCACAATAAAGGTCCATCCTGCCACAGGACAGCTGTAGGGGAATGCTTGGTTAAAAAAAAATAAAAGCTTCTAAGGGTTTTTGATAGTCAAAATACAATATCTGTTGATTAGAAATAGCTATTCCCACCTTTTGAAGAGCCAATCGTCCTTCATATGTGAGGGTCCTGAGGGAAGAAGATCAGGATCCCCTTGCAAGATGTCAAATAAAGGTTTTAATTCTCCAGTAGTTAATTTTAAATAGGCCTTATCCAATTAATATCTCCCAACAATTTTTGAAAATCATTCAAAGTTTTCAAGTTATCTTTTTGAATCTGTAACTTTTGGGTAAATATTTTTCAAGGATAAAGCTGATATCCCAAATATAAAAAAGGAGACTCCCATTGAATTTTTTCAGGAGCAGTAACCAATCCATAATCATTTAAAACCTTTTGCAAATGAACAAATACAGTAAGCAATAATGATTCATCTTCATTTGCTAAGAGAATATCATCCATATAATGTATCATATAAATAGAAGGATAACTTTGTCCAACACAGGAAGAGCCTGTGCTATAAACTTTTGACACAAGGTGGGGCTATTTGCCATACCTTGAGGCAAAACTCTCTATTGATCTTTGCATAGGTTTTTGAAAATTAATGAGGGAACACTAAAAGCAAATCGTTTACAATCTGCAGGGGCTAGAGGTATAGTATAAAAACAATCTTTTACATCAATATTTATTTTAAAAGTATTCCTAGGTATTGCAGAGGCAAGGGAGGAAGATCAGGTTGTAATGCTCCCATGATTTCCATAGTTTCATTAATCCTTCTTAAGTCTTGCAATAATTTCCATTTACCAGATTTTTTCTTTATAACAAAAAGTGGGGAATTCCAAGGAGAGACAGATGGTTCAATGTGGCATTTATCTAATTGTTCCTGCACTGTCAGGTGGCTGCTAATTTTTCATTAGTTAAGGGCCAATGATCAACCCAAACAGGGTTTTCATCTTTCCAGACTATTGGATCTGCATGGGGTGCAGGCATGTCAATGACCCCGAGGGAAAATATTCCAGGCCTTGTCTAGGAGGATGAGCTGATGGGGTCACAGGAAATTGAATTTCTTGACCTTCCTTTCTTAAGCTAACATTAGGCAAGAATCCTAGACCAAACATTTGATTAGAGACCTTTTGATTAGGGCTGTATAAATAAACTCCCATCTGTTGCATGACATCCCTTCCCCATAAATTAACTGGGAGGCCAGGAACAATGGAAGGTTGAAAAGTCTCACAATGTCCTTCAAAATTACTCCAATTTAACATATCAGTACTTTGTTTAGGATTTTTACCTTGACCAATGCCTTGTAATTGAGAGACAGTCTCCTGCAAAGGCAAGGTGGAAGGCCACTGGTCAGCAGTTATAACAGAGACATCAGCACCAGTATCTAATAACCCAATAAAAGATTTTCCTTGAATTAACAATTTTATTTCTGGCCTATTGGCTCCAATAGATTGCACCCAATAAACATTTGAGGACCCGAAGCCTTTATTCCCTCAATGGCCTTTTTATATTTCCCAGAGGTAACTATCCTGGGTAAAAGAATCAATTGAGCTATATGCTGTCCAGGCTGAATAACAAAAATTTGAGAAGGAGAACAAAGCATAATTATAAATTCTCCAGTATACTCCTCATCGATAATTTCTGGGGAAATCATAAGCCATTTCATAGTAGAGGAACTCCTACCCAACAAAAGACTCAAAGTATCCTGAGGTAGTGGCCCAAAAACTCCAGTGGGTAGGGTTTACACTCCCATCTCAGGGGTTAATACTGCATAGGAGGAGGAACCGAGGTCCAATCCTATGCCGCCTGAGGTGGCTCTGGGAGTAAGCTCTGAACAGATTTTGATTGAGTTTGAGGGATTGGATCCTGAAAGGCCCCAAAAGTTGGATACGGGGCCTGGGGCAGGCACCTCTGTCCATTTCCTAACAGAATAGGATTTCCCATGGCATCTTTTTTAGATTTACATTTATTACCCCAATGATATCCTCTTTTACATGTAGGGCATGAACCAGGCTGCTTGGAAGAAGGCCCACCTTCATTTTGTTGAGGGCAATTTTTTATTAAATGTCCTGCTTGAACACAAGCAAAAAAATTTCCATTGTTTCCCTTTTTCTGAGGACCTCTTCTATGCTGCTAAAATAAAACCTCTTTGATGGTCTTTCCCTGTAAAGCCGTGGCCATGCCAAGACCCTGGATGTAAGAGGGGCCGATATCAGCACACAAACGAACATAATCAGATACTATTCTGCCAAAAGAAGAATAAACTTGGGTTATTTGTTTAAAAACCCAGATGCATCTTGAGACCACAATGGTAAATACAATAAATCAGATACACAAGTTTAAATATCACAGTTTCTCTTGCATGAGAAACCCAAAATATAAATAAAGAACATGAAAGATAGATGATAGGAAACAGAGAGATCTTTTGCAAAAGAAAAGGACCAAGAGATGAAGGGGGGGGGAGAAAGAGGAGTGGAAGTGAAAAAAGAATTAAGAAGTATTATGTACATGTACCAAATTCCCAAAAGGAATGGTATCATTATGTACTAGACTAGGAGGATGTATTAACAGAAAAAAAAAAAAAAAGAAAAGAAAAATTCATGGCCACCAAACTAGCACTGCAGGAAACACTCAAGGGAATTCTAAACAGAAACAGTGAGCAAAAATCACCAAGGAGCCCAAGGGAAAGAATACTTTTAAAAGAATAGTTAAACAAAAGGAAAAAGAAAAATCATCCTAGAAAATATAAGGATAGAGCCAGTAAAAAACCTGTCAATAATAATGTTTGTGTTAATGATCTTAATCCACCTAATGAAAAGACACAGACTGGCAGACCTGTTCAAAAGACAAAACCTAATTATACGTTGCCTGCAAGAAACATACCTCACCATAAAGAAACACACACTTGATGTGAAAGATGTAAAATACTCCATGCAAACCAGTTCCCAAAAGCAAGCAAGAACAACTATTCTAATATCAGACAAAGTGGACTTCAAGCCAAAACTGATGAAAAGAGACAAGAGGCCACTACATATTGGTAATGGGTAGAATTCAATGGGAAGAGATAACAATTATAAATATATATATAT